TAATACTGATTTAATTTTTTTTAAATATAATAAATTTAATACGGAACCTAATATTTTCGCATTTAAAAAATAAGGTGACTTTTTAATTTTATTCTTATCAATTTCTTTTTAATATATATATACACACACACAAAAGAATTCAACTATTAATATAGCTTGAAGATTAAGTTCGAGTACTAACTATTTGTTATTCCGCATGCTTTTTCATAAAAATTCACATATAATATAATTATATATATATGAAAAAAAGAGTTTGTTAAATTAATATAAAGTAAAATTTTACTAATTAAATTAATTCTCAAATTTTCCAATTGTTTTACATATCTTTTAGTGTTGTTTTATTTAATTATTTAATTATTTATTTTTGCATATTGCCCTTTTTATAATATATTACCCACGTTGATAAATAAACAATTACATACAATTTAGTACATGGACACAAATTATTGTTGACTCCAATAGTTATATAAACACCACTTGATTATTGTCTTGTTGAAAATTTTGTGCCAGCAGATTTCTTTGAATTGGCTTATTGGTTTATAATCGTCAAAGTCAATCACATGAATTTTGAAGTTGGAGCTCGTTGACTTGGATAAAGGGAAAAAAAAAAAAAAGATGCACCAATTTTTGTTTTTGTTTTTTTAAATTATTTCCCTTAAAATATTCGATTTAATAACTTAATATTTTTTATTAATTTTCTTTATCTTATTTTATTTTCCTTTAAATCGTTTTATTTAATAACTTAATATATTTCAAATTTGTATGCTTTTTTTTTATTTTGTTTTGTTGAATGAATATTTTCTTTAATCTTAATAATCTTTTTATAAAAAAAAAATTACTATTTGTATGTTAAATTATTGTGTTATCAAATTAACTGGACGTGGTTAAAAATGATATGTTATGGTTAAAGGTATATTAAATTTTAATGCATCAAATTAAAGTGTGAGTTTTCTTTTTATGTTTGGTGACCATATATGTAATTTTTAATTTTGTGATGGCTCAAATTATGAATAAGTAAATTACACGTAAAATTTTTTATTTTGACATCTCATTATCAGAAATAGAGAGAGTGCGATAATTTCAAAAGTAACGCCCCGTTCTAATTATGGAGGCGTTATTGTAACCCGTAAACTCAATTCTTAATAATCGTGCATCATACAACGAGTTCACATTATTTCATTCACCAAAATGTATAAAAATTTATTAGTGAGTACATGATCAATCTACATCGTACAATTCTATTCTCAATAGTGATAAAGCGTATACATTCATGTGTTTATCAAACGAAATATCGTATATTAATCGTTGCTCATGCAAGGTGTTCTATTTCTAGACATTTTGATGCATACTACTGTTTTGACAAATATGGAAATAAAGTTAATGAACATAAACATGCAAAGTAAAATAAATGTAGAACTTCGAAACTAAATTGTAGAAATTAGTTCTTATCCCAACACACCCTTCCATACCCCTTCCACAATGTTATAACTCCTTCTCCTAGTAGGACCCCTTCCTCGTTCCACTCAGCCAGACATACTACCTAACCATACTCTCTTCTCCAATGCTCCCATCAGACATTGAACATCCACTAGCACTCAACCTTGCCACCCGCGGACACTGAATGACCGCACGCAATCGCCTATATTGACTTTCTAAAATAAAAAACAAGAGTCCCATGCCAATACCGGCCATCTGTTGGCCACAAACACGCACAAGGCATATCGCAACAGCCCTCCGTCTCACGGCCTGTGGAGGCCATCCGAAACAGTACACACAGCCTGTAAAGGCCACACATATACACACCACACTGACTTATAGCCTCTGGCCTGTGAAGGACACACACACACCTATCTTCTCACTGATTTTGATCATGCTCGAACATACACACCGATGATCCCTGCACTCTCATCACTCCCCTCCTACCACACTATCTAACTCTTCTCCTCAATTTCTATGACTTCATCTGAGCCAACCTGGTTCACACTCATTCCAACTCCTCACCCGTTTCCCATCCAATCGGTCCTCCCCTACTTTGTTTCCTAACCAATCCTACTCCCATCCCATATCATCCTAGTTTCTCCAGTCCAGTTCTGTGACCCCCACCCAACTCTCTCTTGATACTAGGACTCAATCGAAACTTCAAAATCAGAAAAAGTAGGAATTCGGACAAGTATTACCATAATAGAATATGAAATTCTACATTTTCTTACCTCTCGCCTCCATTTTCTATCCCTCGGCAATGGTTCACTCAAATCTTCCTCTTCCTCGAACTCTCCCAGCAATTTTACACCAGTTAGTCTCCTTCCCCTCCCTTTATCTTCTCGATCTTTCTCCTTCCTCTCCCTACGCCCCCGCATCAGTGAAGGTGCTTTGGTCGATCTACTTGCTGTTCTCCCTCCCCCCAGCTTCCTTCAATCTCATTGTTCCCTCCAGTATCTTTTTACTATTCTCTCTCTCCTTCTCTCTCTAAGCCGACACTCTCCCCCTCCACTCGAGCCCCCTCTCCTCACTTTGTACTAAAACTCCTCCCCTTTGTTGGATTACAGGTGGCAAAAAAAAAAAAATGGAGGTCGTTCGTGCAAGGCTTGGGACTGGGCTTATGGGTTTGGGTCTTTTGGATTGGATCCAATGAAATATTAGGCTGACAGCATGTTACGACTACGTGCTAATTTTGA